TTTTTTATAAGGTTTGGTTGGGCCCCGGTATCCAGAATGAAGGCTACAGGTCCTCGGAAGGACGCAGATCGGAGCTCGACAACGGGTACGTCATCGCTATCGGCTCGGAAGACGTGGACGGACCCGGGATGCATTCTATTGGTAAGGCGGGGCGAGCTTTCCCTCGGTGCGCCCCGTCGACCGAAGCCGCCGGGTGGTTTCCCGGTTTTTGTGAAGGGGCGCTAGTATTGTAGTTACCTTTATTAGCATTGTTTTCCTTTATATTGCCTTTTATGGCATTCATGAATTAGATGTCCAAAATTTTTACAATAACTACATATCTTTCGGCCGCCGCCGTCGGTCGCACCGAGTGTATTTGTTTGGTTAGTCGCTGGGGTTGGAGAGGGAATGGACGGAGAATCGCGCTGAAGCGCCCTAACTGGTGGTTGGGTCCTAACGGACGCCGCATCGTCGCGTGCGCTTCGTGTGTTTCTAAGTCTCGCGTCCTCCCTTTCGAGTCTCTTATGTATAGCTATTACTTTAGTGCAAGCGTCCGCAAAATCTATGTATCCCTCGGCTCGGAGCTCGACACGGTACTCACGGGGCAACCCTTCGTAAAAAGCTTCTAAGGTGTAAGAGTCGATAGTAGAAATTTCAGTTCCCGTCAGCGGGCGATTAAGAGTAGTTTGATCTCCTTCAACAATGGCCGTTCTCAAATCCTTTATTCGGCCTATATAGTCTAGTATGTGTTTTCCGGGTTTTTTGTAAGTGATGCTAAGTTGACCACGGTAGTAGTTCGAGCTCCTGCCGGGACCGAATGTTTTTTTCAACGTGTCGAGAAATTTGTCGACCGTGAGGTGGGTTTCGTCTTCTATAGCTAGGTAAGCGTGGTGTGACAGTTTGTTGCGCAACATTCGTACCAGTAAAGCTTCGTTAACTAATGGAATGGATTCCTTTGCTTTCTTGCAGGCACGAGTAAACTGCCACACCGGGATATTGTGGCCGTCATACTTGGGTACGAGATCGAGCGCATCGTGAATATAAGCCTTGGGGTAAGTGGAGTGATTGTAAAGATCAGGGGCCAAGCTCAGTGGGGTAAGGGGAACCTGGAAGTTCGGTTGAGACGAGATGCCTCCGAGAACGCTGGAAGCGTACCCCAAGGGGGTAGGTTCAGGGGGACGGGCGCCGGCCAAGACGTTGGTTAAGGAGCGTAACATGTTTTCAACCGTTTCGGTACGCTGGATTAACTCTCTCTCTCTCTCTCTCGCACGTCCCTAATGGCTTGTTCGTAATTGAACTGGCTTCCGATTCCTTGTTCTGGTGATCCAGCTGAGTAGGCATAGTCCGTAGGATTCCCCTCGGTGAGGTCCTCGCCTCCTGTCCTGTCCATGCTTGTCGCGCGATGATTCGTGATTTGTATGGTTTTCGAAAAATAAGGAGATGGGCGTGATTCTATGTCAGTAAGGTCAGTAGGTTACTGGCCTCCTTCCTTAAGGTATTTAGGGTAGAAAAAAATGATATTCCAATTAGGTATAATACCATTGATAGTTTTATTTTCCTTAATTTACAAGATTTAGACGTGGTGCTACAGTCGTATCCGCGATACCGCGCTGCAGCATCCCACCGCTGTCACCAGTTGTTACGTCTGTATTTTGTTTATTTTATTTTTTTGTATTCCTTGAAAGTCTGAGGGGAGTCGGACGTGGTTGTTCAATCGGCCTCGTGAATGGCCGCTGACAAGCCGCAAGAGAAGGCGGCTAGTCGCCGTGACAATATTACATCCGGTGGTCCGCTGGAGGGATCCACCTGGAGGAGAGTGCCCGGGGGCACGTCTTCGCGGGAGCACCCATTGGCGGTCTCAACGAAATCTTTGAAGTCCGTCAGGGTGCTCCGACAGAGATTGCAATCAGCTGCCTGACGGTGGGAGAATAATAACGTCTTGCAGCTAGCGCACGTAACCCTCGACTCAAAGACTGTATAGTCTATCGAGCATGAGTGGCGTACGGCGAACCGCGATGCGTCCTTCCCTTGTTCCGTCCTGCACCTTACACATAGCCTTGTTGCTCCTGTCTCGTCGATATACCTGTAGATAATCAGGCACGCGGCCTAATCTATCCACCACGACAGGGCAACAGCGGGGTGCAGCCTCGTTCGACGCTTCTTTATAATGAGACACATGAGACCGGCACCTGAAAGAGGCCGAAGGGTGGGTTGTGTGAGAGAGAGAGAGACAGAAAGAGAGAGAGAGAGAGAGAGACAGAGAGACTTTCTTGACTTATATTTTTTTTATTCAAGTTAAATCAACTAATTCTACTGGGCCGGTCGCGGATGGCCTTGGGCGGCGCGCGTATATCCCCAGAGGGGCGGGCCTCGTTTGTTTTCGAGCTGGGGCCTGAACGGTCGGAGCGACTGCGGCAATAGGTCGCGACGGGGGTTTCTTTGGCGCTTAACGGGGAGGTAGCGCTCGGGTCTTCGTGGGAGGGGCTCTCCTTGGGATTTGGGTAAATCGGCGTTCTGGTGGGAGAACTTCGTCCGATCTGATGATCGGCTTATTGCCCGGCCGTTCCGACGAGTTGGCGCGAGCGTCGTCGAACACCCGCGGGTCGAATTCACGGGGCTTAAAAAGCTCCCTTGCGAGCTTCCTCATTAGGGCTGCTCGGCCCGCCCTTTTGCCCCGGTGTCCCATTTCGTGAGTTCTTTTATTGATTGGCGTACAAAACCCTCGTCAATTCGCTACCTCGGAGACCACTGCGTCGGAAACACCCCGTTTTGACTATGCTCTTTCGCATATAATAACTATATACTGACTAGTGAACTAAGAGTCTCGGCTTTCGAAAATCGAATCACACCGGGCTCCGAAATCGTCTCAATATATACCCCGGTTTCAGTGGTAGAGAGGGTATTTTCGTCGCTCGTCTCCGAGAAATTATCCCGCAAAAACACTTCGCGGAATCTTAACAATAGTTA